CTATAATAGCAGCGATTGCTAATTACTTTTAATATTTACTTTTTTAATTAATCTTTTATGTATATGAGATTGGCTTCACCACTAGTAATTCAGTGGAAACTATTTGAGGAGCAAAAGGATTAGCGATATTTTGTGATCTGTGATTTTATTTTATTAAAGAACTGTTTTTCTGCTAAGACAAGGCTTTTTTGAGTCTATATATCAACTAAGGAGCGCACATATATTTTATTTTAGAGTTTTCCTCTTTAAAGTCGCTTATATATATATATGTAGCTGCCCAAATAAATTTACTATTTTTTGTTACCAGCAGTTTATCTTTTTACTATTATGTATCATAAATAAATAAATGTAGATCCCAAACCTTCTTAATATATTTCCTGCTTATCTTTAGTGCCACATTTTACATTATTTATTTATTGTCATTTATTTAACTTCAGCTATGCATGTGATTGAACCCTTTCTTAAATAAAGCTAATGCATGTGATACAATGCTTCTATAAACTTAGTGCTTTGCTTTGGTAGAAACTGGAGAATAATATTATAGTCATTGAACAGTGCATTCACCTAATAAGTGATTAGAAAAAAAATCCAATAACATTAGTTGACATTAATTTTGACATGAGTCAAAAACATCAAGCACAATAGAAGGTCAGCAGCTTGTTTGTAACACTGCTTATTACTGTTATTTAATTGTGTAGGGGAGGAGAAAATTAATTTCTCATTACACATTAACTATTTCTACTAAGGTCAGCTATCTTCCAGACTCAGTATAGGCTGTCTGATGGAAAATAGATCCATTTTGATACAGTGTTAAAATATTAGACATTCTTACAGGTTTAACACTGTTATCTATCTCAGGGCTCTCATGGGTTTAATAACCTTGAAATTAAATAATAACGTGCAGATCATAATCTGTTGTCTTTCTCCACGGGATAAATTATTGAGGTGCTTGCTATGCACCGGACTTGAAGAAAACAATGGATCTATTTTGTGGTACAGTGAATTTATTTCATACTTTCAAAGACTTTGCTCATTGTATGCATCTTTTAAGATGCAGCATGTGAGCCCGTGTACTGTATCTCTATTTATGTTTAATATGTATGTCAGTTGCTAGGCAACTGTGATATATTTCCCACTGACTGTGTTAAGTGGCCAGTTGAAAGAGACAAAAGGGAGTAGGTTTCAGACAGAGAACATCTGCAGAGCTTCAAATAATAATCTAACCTGTTTTAAAAAAACCTTTTGTTAAATATTTCATATTTCCCCCTATTGTTGTAAATTTACAGTAGGCAGACATGTGCACAATTTAAGAGTGCCTGTTTGTCACAATTTGTAAGATCTGCCTATCTGTGTATATACACAATAGATGTATACTATAGACATTTTATACAATATATTTTTTATATATAATATACAGAATGTCAGTACCAGCAGATGAAATAAAGTTTATTTTATAACGACAGAGCTGCTTTAAATCTCTAATTTTTCACAGGTCTTATAGCTACAAAAACATGAATCATATGTCAGGAAAGCTACGAAAATGCATCACATTCCAGGATGTATACCAAGCTGTTCACACGCAGATTGTTGTGCTGTGGTGCATGCATCCTTTTTACGGTAGTGCACAGTAACATTGTTGGTTTGGTTCTCTGTCAATCATATTGTGCAAGTGCATAGAGAAATGTGAAGCACTAATAGCTATATGAAAAGAGAATTAAACTTTGGACTGTGGGTAAGTAATCAGGCCTTTGGTACCTTTCCCCATTACCTTCCATTGCTTGCTGGCAACCAATAATATGTTATATATCGTTCCCATCATATGCGGCTCTCTAATTAGGCAACCACCTAGCTCGCCTTATGGTAGACTGATGTATCGGGTTCTTGGTCCATGGCCCCCTCCCCTCCACTCAGTCTTCCCCAGGGGAGAAAGAGCCCAGCACCATTGGTCTGCAGCCACGCCAGGTGCAGATTTGCAGACCATGTGGTAGAGGTCTTACAAGCTCAGCCAATCAGAGCATTGCTGCTAATTATCATTGCATAGCTCAGACACTTCAAGTGCTGGGGCTCGCAAGACATCTGCCACATGGTCTGCAACTCTGCACCTGGCAGACCTGCAGACCAGATACCACCAGGTAATTGATAAGTTAAAAAAAGGTATTTCAGTTTGGGGAGGCTGGTCACTAAAACACAGCCTCCCCAGATGCTGTCACCCCTCCCCCCCCCACACACAATATCATCCCCCACACAAAGACTGGCACACACTGTCAGCCCCTCACACACAGGGGGCTCAGCCCCCCACACACACTCACACACTGTCAGCCCATCACACACTCACACACTGTCAGCCCATCACACACTCACACACTGTCAGCCCCTCACACACAATGTTAGCCCCCCACACACACTGTCAACCCCCTTCACCTTGCCATACACACATACAGTCCCAGGTACAAAACATACACATGCTTACAGAGACATACATTCTCACACAAGGATACTTTTTGAAGGAATGGAGACTGGGTGAGAGTCTAATGGCCTTCCACATGAATGATGTAGCCCTAGAGAAGTCTTGGAGGTGAGCATTCGAGATGAAAGTACGAACAGAGCATATATGCAGGCAGGCCCGGACTGGCCATCAGGCAAACTGGGGAAATGCCTGGGGGGACGCGATGGCCATGGTCCGAGGCCGGCAGGGAAGCTCAGGAGATCTCTCCTGCTGGCCTATGCAGCGAAGCAATGGCCCCAAGATTGAGTTCTGTCCCATCATGGGCCACAGGGGAGATCACGCATCTTCCTTCTCTCCCTTTCGCAACACTCTGAAAAACCAGTGCTTGCGAGAGGGAGAGAGACATGGTCTGTACCCTGCAGAGGTACAGACCAAATTACCTGCCAGCTGGACCACCAGGGATCGGTGTGTGGCGTGCCCCTCTCACTGGACCACCATGTATCTGAATGCTCCCTCTCCCCCCAGCAAAGTTAGAATGGGGAGTAAATGTGATTTTTTTTTTTTTTTTACTTTTTTTTTAAAATTATTAAATAAGTAATTTAAGGCCATATCCAACCACTATATACACACACCCTCACATACACACACACAACACACACTACACCCCCTGCACTAACACACAAACACACTCTATACCCCTATATACACTCTATACCCCTATATCCACACAACACCTCCTGCACTTACACACAAACACACTACACACACTCTACACCCCTTATATACACACTAATTTATATCCCCATTAAATACATATTCTACACCCCCTGTACACACACCACCACCTATGCACCACACCCTTTACACAGCTACATCTCCTATATGCAGACACACACTAGAGCCGATAATTACACTCACAAACACACAGTACAGCTCCTTACATTCACACACTACATCCCCCACACACTCCACAGGCCCTATATAAACACACACACACACTTTACAACCCAGAAACACACACACACTATAGCTCCTAGCCACATGCAGTACACCACAAACACACACACAATACAACAAAAATAGTCTGCTCTACACACATGCAACCTCCAAAACATATACAACTCCATAGGGAACATCCCTACACATGCACAACACACTTTAACAGCCCTGTTCCTGTTTTGATCTATGGTATCCCACTATTGAGGACATCAGAGACAAATCGCCAGCAAGCGTTGCACAAACTCCCCCCCAAAAACCATGGCATTAACTTCATGCAAGAGCACTGGATTCTCTGGAGGAGTGTCACATTAACATACTTATTCGGTTGGGGGAGGGGATGTGCATGTCAATGGTGGTGACATTACACGCCCCCTTTCTGGCCCCTCCCCCAACAGTGGGCTGCTCTGCCTTTAATTGCCCGGGCTGAATTTTTGTCCCAGTCCGGCCCTGTATCCAGGTCTACAGCAGAGCGTAGGGTAACTATCTGGGACATACTTGTGTATTAGGGAGGATAGATAGGTTGAAGAAGTGTTATGTAGAAATTTGTAAGCAAGTACCAGAATTTTAAATTGAGCCATATATCTTATTGGAAGCCAATGTAGGGACTGACAGAAGAGGGGAAATGTGAGAGGTGCGGGTCGACAGAAAGATTAACCTTGCTGCCGCAAGGTGGGTGGGGGCCCTAAATGTAAATGGGGGGACCTATTGTCCTTCCTCCCGGACCCCACCCATGAGTGATGGGTGGGGGCTAAATGTCAAAATACCCCCCCAGGTGACTAGGGGTCCCCAAGCCCCTAGTCACCCCCCACTCTCCCCAAAATGAAAGTCCTGCCTACCCCCCTCACCCTAAAAACAGTGAGGGGGGAGACAATAAAACTAAATCCCTGTAAATAAATAATAAAATACTTACCATTTGATGTCTTCTTTTTTCTAAAACCTTTTTTCAGCCCCCAAAAAGGCCAAATAAAAAAAACATTTAGCCCACACCCATCGCCCATGGGTGGGTGCTGGGGGTGAAGACAATAGGTCCCCCCATTTTCATTTAGGGCCCCAACCCATCACCCATGGGGGAGGCTGGGGGGGGAGGACAATAGGTCCCCCCTATTTTTATTTAGGGCCCTCGCCCATGGGTCGGGTGAAGGAATAATCTAAATTTTATTAAAGACAGGAGGCGAATATTTGCTTTACCTTCTTTACTGAAACCTCCAGCAGCAAAGAAATAGTTAACAGAACTTTCAGAAACAACCAATCAGAACAAAGAACAGTAGAACAAAACCCTCAGGCAGACCCTCCCACTTCCTCTTTCTTTCATGAGGTTTTACAGGAGAGCATGAAATACAACTGAGCCAATTTGTAGCAGGCACAATCAAATGAGAAACTGCCAGAACAAAAAGAAATCCCAATTACACTGCAAGGAAAAAGAAACATCATGAAAGTAAACTGCCAAGGCAGAATGTCATACAAAACACATAAGTACTGCAGTACGTTAAGACTAGTGATGTCGCGAACCGTCTGCGAACTTGCCGCGAACGGTTTGTTCGTGGCGAACTCCGGTCAGCTGACACATCCCTGCCAATCTCCGGCAGACCCTCCCTCCCAGACCCTCCCACCTCCTGGACAGCATCCATGTTGAAGCTGCCTTCAACATGGATGCTGTCCAGGAAGTAGGAGGGTCTGGGAGGGAGGGTCTGCCGGAGATTGGCAGGGATGTGTCAGCTGACCGGAGTTCGTGGCGAATGGTTCGTGGTTAAGACTAGTTAAGACATAATGAATAAACTCAAACAGGCAACTAGCATTAAATTACAGTAAAATTTAACCAAACACATGACAGAAACAATACAAAATCACAACAAATACCCCCAAAATAACCCACAATCCAGGGAGGGAAACATCAAAACAAACAGGGGGGGAAATATTCGCCTTCTGTCTTTAATAAAATTTAGATTATTCCTTCACCAAGGCTAGAATAATCTCTAATTTTCTGGAAAGACAGGAGGCTTCATATTTGCTATTTTAATGCCCAGACATAAACGCAGAAGAAACATTTGAGAACGAACGAAAATAAAACGCATGAAAAATCGACTCCATAGACCAATCTGCAGCTTGGAAAAAATCCGTAAGGGACCCACCGGATACCAAAGTTACCAATACTGCAGTGTGTTGAAGGATCTTTCCATGCCTGCAGAGAGCTAGAGACTGCCTAACACGCACGCACATATAAAATCAATAGTCACCCACGGGCAGAGAAATTAAGAGACCAAGTCACAGTGATATAGGCCCATAGACAACGAGCCACCCAGAGATGTGGCCCATCTGTAAAATAAGAGTACGACACAGACAAAGAAATAAACTTTGTTCTGTGAGATACTGAAAAATTAAACACTGTCAGTGCGAATATCTGAGAGCAATGGGAAGACACGAAACAGAAGAGAAAAACCAGTTTAGCTGAAAGCCGATGGGGAGATCATTCTCCGTTAACTGGTTAGTCCCCAAGGAAACGATAGATGATCGATACGTCCCAGAACAAGGAATAGTGTGAAGCATATCTCGGAGCAGCCTGTAGACTGAGAGGCATATCCCCATGCAAGAGCCCTGAGAGGTAACATAAGCCACCAAGATGATGGACCGGAAGACAAAAATTGGCCCAAAAGACTTACCTTGAAAAAAGAATTCAGCCAAGGAGTTCAGAATGCCCACAACTTGGGCCACAAAGGGATCAAGATGAGGAACAACACCATAAGCAGTTTGCCCTGGTCATGAACAGGTCCAGATGGAGGGGAAGGAAGTTCAACACGCGAAACACTGTGAATGAAGCTGTCAATCAATGACGTCCCACCAGTGTAGGAAAAAAGTCAGGATGAAGTCCTTAGGGGAGCCAAAATTGCCCCATGTGTTGAAGCCAGCAATGGAATTCTAGGTCACCTAGAGCAAAACCAGGCCGCAGGAAGCTGAAGTCCTGTGATAGCGATCCGTCAGGCATAGTAGTGCCCAATAAAGCTTGAGTCACGGGAAGATGTCCCGAATGGAGGATGAGGTCAGACCCATCATCCATGTCAGTTCCCACAAAGTGAGCTGAGGGCTTCGGAGCAAGCGTCTGACATCCTTCCTGATTGTGGCCACCTTGGAGAGAGGGAGACGGAGCACCGCCTTGGAGTAAAATCCACGATGAAGCTCAGAAACCAGACCAACCAAAAGTGCACCAGATATGACTTCTCTACATTGTTTACAAACCACAGATCCTGGAGCAGAAGGACCATAAGGGGTATCATGTCATCAGTAGAATGTCATCCAGATAGACGATACACTATATCCCCCAGGCTCTCCGAGCCGTCATGACTGGTTTGAACAATGTGATGAAGCACCATGGGACAAAGCTGAGGCCGAAGAGAAGGCAGGGAAACTGCAGAATGTGGACTAGCACAGTGAGAAAAGCTTCCCTCAGTTTTAGACGTGAGAACTGAATGTCCATGAAGAGCAACATCCCTAGGAGATGAATGTCCTCCATCTTGAAACATTGTTAAACGCTTTGAGGTCACGAAGGTTAAAAAATTGAGACAGCCTGCACGTAATTTGTAAGTCAGGCAAATAAGAAAGGACTCTTACTTGAGAAGTATTGAGCCCTGGTGGATGAGGTACCACAGTCCCTGAACGAACCTCCGGTAAACAGCCGGCGGTACTGGCACTGGCACTGGGAGGAATAGAAGGAGAAAGATTCCGAAAGTGTGCTGTTGACCAGCCCTCCAAGTCATCCAGCTTGCTGTCCAGTGCGTAAAGAGCTGCATTTTTTGCGCTCCATGGGAAGGCCACAATGGTATTGCCACACAAGCAGATGGTACGTTGGTCCTATTCACGAAGGAGGTGCACATCCACAGTTTTTTCTTCATTCAGAGCGTCATCAGCTATTGGAAAAATCAGCGGGTCGCTGATATCATGGAGCTTGTCTTGCTCCAGGCCACTTTGCGGATCCTTCCCAGAACGTGCCAGAAAGTTGAAAACACCAGGTCAAAGTCAGTGGTAACGGCCACTTTATCCGGTAGTGTAGTAGGAGGGCAGCTTGCCCTGGCTTCCTTATCTAGAGGGCGGTGGAGTGAACACCTGAGGAACTCCGTAATGTGGCCAGGGAGTGTCCACTCTGAGGAGGCCGTCACGAAGGATCCACTATCTTCATGGGATTGACTCCAAGGGCCGAGTGGGGACATAGAGGATCAACCGGGGAAACGTTGACCACCATCTGTTTAACATAGCGGGAGTAACAACCAAAGGTGCCTTCACCAGGGAAGCAGCGTACAAGTTGTCAGCCTTGTAGAAATGAAGAACATTGCAATCGGGGGCCCCAAAGAAGGTGTCCAAATCCTCACGTCTGGCCGCACCGGTCCTAGCCTAGCCAATTTAGCGGGTAATTTGCCCTTGTGCATTGGGGCGCCTTAGCCTGTCTAGGGACGCTTGCATGTGGAGCTTCTCCCCAGGGGATGGAGAAAACCATCTGAGTTAGAGCCACTAGAGCCAGGGGCGAGAGGAGTAGGCTGCAAGGCAATTGAGGAGGGTCTACCTCAATACAAAAAGAAAGCGACCCGATCTTCCTTTTCCTGCAAAGCATCGCAATTATGGAACGACCTCCCGCACACTTTAAAATCTTCCCCAAGCCTAAAGTCCTTTAAGAGTTCCCTCTCTACATACCTCAAAACAGAATGCACGTGTTATGGTTGATTATATATTTCCTACCTTTTCTATGTTAAATTTTGTATATATTGGGTATTAATATTGTTTTTGTATTTTATTGTTCCCTAATGTATCAATGCAATGTTTTGTGGACCCAGGACATACTTGAAAACGAGAAAAATCTCAATGTATCTTTCCCGGTAAAATATTTTATAAATAATAATAATAATTAAATGCAGCTTAAAAATCAAGGAAAACATGCAGCAAATAGTAATACATGAACAATAAAGCAATAAACAGCCCAGAGCAGACACACACTCTGAGGTAAGGAATGCTTATCAGACAGGCCCGGACTGGCCATCGGGCATACCGGGCAAATGCCCGGTGGACCGTGATGGCCGTGGGTCGAGGTCGGCAGGGGAAATCACAGAATCTCCCCGGCCGGCCCATGCAGGGCCCGCGCTACCCGAGCACCGGCTCTGCTGTGTGCCTTCGTGGGCCGGTGGGCTCACCGGCCCATAGGCACTGAAATGCGGCCGCCGGCTGGGGAGTGAGGGAGGCAGGAGAGGACCCGGAGAGGACCCGGTAGAGCTCTACCCTGCAGCTCCGCCGTGTTCCTCTCGCGAGGTCTGAGCGTTGCTGTGGCTACTGCGGCAACGCTCAGATCTCGCGAGAGTGAACTCTAGCCTGAAGGCTAGCGTTCACTCTCATCACTAGGACCACCAGGGAAGGCTCCATGGAAACCTGGCTCCCCTCTCTCCCAGGCTAAAGGTAAGAAGGGAGGGGGGGGATATAACTTTTTTTTTTCTATAAAATAACCATCAGTGAGTTAACAGACACACACAGCACCCCAGACACACACAGCACCCCCAGACACACACAGCACCCCGACACACACAGCACCCCCAGACACACACAGCACCCTCAGACACACACAACACCCTCAGATAGACAGCACCCTCGCTTACACAGCACACTCCCACACATATACAGCACACACACACACATATATATATATATATAAAAAAAAAAATATATATATATACATATATATAATATATAAAATAACACTCAGTGAGTTAACAGACAAAGAAAATTTGAAAAATAGAATGTGACGGCAGATTAAAAAACACCCTCACACACAGCACCCCTCTTACACACACACACACACTGCACACCTCACACATACAATACATCCAAATATATATATATATATATATATACGCTACAGCACCCCTCCCACTGCACCACACATTGCGATCCAGATACACGCTAGATCCCTTACCCTATATGTACTCTTAATCCTCTACACACACACACACACACACACACACTCAATCTTCTATGCACACGCTGGGTCCTTTAAACACTAGATCTCCTACACACACACTACATTCCTTGTAAGCAAACACATACAACATTCTCTAAACACACCCTCTCTACAACCCCTACACACACTACGTGACCTATACACACATTACAGCCCGTATGCACACACTCGCTACATCCCCTATAACACTATGCCCCTATACACACACTCTCTTCAGCCCCTAGCCACACATATTACACCACAAACACACATATTACACACACACAATCCCACAAGCAGGCTCCAGACACAGGCTCCAGACACATGCACCAGGAAAGTGTATGGTGCATGTGTCTGGAGCCTGCTTGTGGGATTGTGTGTGTGTAGAGTGTGGTGTGGTATTGTGTATAGGTCAATTTCATTTGTGTTTGTGGTGTAATATGTGTGGCTAGGGTCCTCTGGTATCCCACTTGTGGAGACACCAGAGACAATTTAAAAGCAAACACAGTGCAAGCATGTTATTACATTTGCTTGCGCTGCGCAGAACAAATACAGGGCCTTTTTCTAATGCTAGAGTTCTTCAGCGGGGCTCAGCGCATTGAACCAACATGCTCACTTTGATGACAAAACACACCCTCTCTGGCCCCGCCCCCCTTTTTAGGGGGCCGCTTTAATTGAAAAATGCCCAAGCATAATTTTTTTTCCCAGTCTGGCCCTCTTATCAGGCACACAGCCCAAGAGCCCCCACAAAAACTGGATGGAATAGATAACAAAAATACTAACTAAATACAGCTTAGAAATCAAGGAAAACATGCAGCATATAGAAATACAAGCAGCATATAATAATACATGAACATTAAAGCAATAAACAGCCCAGAGCAGACACACTCACACTGGGAAGTGCTCACCTGGAGGCAGCAGCAGGTGAAGAAGAGTGTTTTGTTCTACTGTTCTTTGTTCTGATTGGTTGTTTCTGAAAGGTTATGTTAACTATTGCTTTCCTGCTGGAGGTTTCAGTAAAGGTAAAGCAAATATGAATTCTCATGTCATTGGCAGTGGCATCACTTTGCGGGCAGGTGCGCAAGGGAGAATTCTCTCCTGAGTTCTCTCTGCCCAGCTCCCTCGCATGCACCGCAGTGATGCCGGAGCCGGAATATGACATCACTCCGGCTCCGGCATCAGTAAGCGGCTGACGAGGGAAATGAACAGGAGGATCTGTGCTGCTTCCTCGCCGCCTGCAGTGACCGGCCGCCCAGCAGCCCCATTGGACTCCAGGGAAAGTTGGAATCCCCTCAGCACTCCCAAAGGTAGGGTGGTTGGGGGATTAAATTTAAAAAAAAATGTGAGTGTGTATGTGTGTGTGTGTCAGTGAGTGTGTTACTTTGTGTGTGTCTGTTACTGAGTGTGTTAGTTGTGTGTTAGTTTGTGAGTGTCTGTTAGTGTGTGTCTGTTATTGAGTGTTTGTCTGCTAGTGAGTGTCAGTGAGTGTGTTAGTTTTTGTGTGTATGTGTGTGTCTGTTACTGAGTGTGCTAGTTTGTGTGTGTCTGTTAGTATGTGTCTGTTATTGAGGGTGTGTCTGTTAGTGAGTCTGTTTGGTATCTGTTAGTGAGTGTGTGTCAGTGAGAGTATGTTTGGTAAGTGAGTGTGTATGTGTGTCTGTCTGTCAGTGAATGTGTGAGTCTGTAAGCTAGTGTGTATGTGTCTGTTTGTGTTCACTAATGAGTGCCGTGCAACCCTGGATGGTCCAGATGGATGGAGTAGTGGAAGGTTGGTGGACGGCCACCCTGTTCCAACAAGGCTGTGACGTCAGCAAGGCGGTGGTGGAGTCATGTTTTGGGCCGGAATCATGGGAAGAAAGCTGGTCATCCGCTTTAGGGTCCCTGAAAGTGTAAAGATGACCTCTGCAAAGTATGTGGAGTTTATGACTGACCACTTTCTTCCTTGGTACAGAAGGAAGAACTATGCTTTCCGTAATAAAATCATCTTCATGCAAGACAATGCACCATCTCATGCTGCAAAGAATACCTCTGCATCAATGGCTGCTATGGGGATAAAAGGAGAGAAAGGCATGGTGTGGCCTCCATCCTCCCCTGACCTCAATCCTATTGAGAACCTTTGGAGCATCCTCAAGCAAAAGATCTATGAGGGTGGGAGGCAGTTTACATCCAAACAGCAGTTCTGGGAGGCTATTCTGACATCTTGCAAACAAATTCAAGCAGAAACTGTCCAAAAACTCACAAGTTCAATGGATGCAAGATTTGTGAAGCTGCTATCAAATAAGGGGTCCTATGTTAAAATGTTATGTGACCTGTTAAAATGTTTTTAATAGCTTTTGATTTCAGTAAATATGCTGCAAACACAACAAATTACAATTTTCAGTTCTTTACAAGCTATAAAGTGTTTTGAAACTTACTGTGTGTAATAATTTGGAACAGTGCATTGTAAGTTTTTTATGTTTAAAAACAATACTGTTATTAGGAGGTTTGTTCAATAAAATTTGAATTGTACTCTTAATAGTTGATAACATGAGAATTATGCTGACTGTTATTTACAGCAATTATTTAGGTAAATTAGAAAAATATCATTTGCATAATAATTTGGAACATGGTGTTTGTGTATCTCTTGGTCTGCATGGGTATCTGTTTGTCTGTATGTGTATCTGAATGTTTGTCATTAAAGGACCACTATATAGTCCTTAGGTTCCCCCACCCTTGTGGCCCCCCTCCCGCTGGGCTGAAGGGGTTAAAACAGGTCACGTTAAACTGCTAGAAGTTGTGGCCCCATAAAAAGGTCTGTACAGTGTGCTTTTTACTGGTTTTATTTGCTATTAGACTTTATGGGTCTGCTGTGCCTCTGAGTGCCCTGCAGTATCACTACATGCTCTGCCTTCAGTAATAGGCCCAAGCTCAGCTGCATCTTCCTGATGTTGTTCACCACCTCAATCAGAATCAGCTGAATACTCACTTCCAGTCTTTGACTGGAAGAGAGTTTTGGCAGTGATCTGCATCCAACTTGAGGTGCAGACCTGCTTTAAAAGCAGCTAAAGATCTCCCCACTCGCCTGCTGTAATGGGAGTGTGGCTCTGTTATATAGAACCTAATAGAGAAAAAATTGCAAACTAAATGTGTTGGTATGCAAGAAAGAAAGGGGGTGCCAGAGACAAAAGGGGTATAGACACTAAAGGATAAGATACACTAAAGTAGGGTAAGACATATTTTATTTTTTTCTTCTAATTTTCTAGTTTGAATATATGGACACATCTTATATGGTGAAAAATACTGTAGCTAAATTGTAATAAAACTATAGATTATTAAAAAGCAAAAATTTGCGTACTTCAGTTAACAAAAGGATAAGAATTTAGATTTAAAAAATAACATTTTTAATCTGGTAATTCCTTACTTAATTCATCCTGTTTTCGAAAAAAGAACAAAAATATCGAAAATTGATCGACAGAACATTCAAAATGCAGTTTGGCCAATATCAGTTTGGTTTGTAGTATTTAAAGAAATGAACAACTGTTCACAATGGTTCCTTATTCTTGTTTCATGTAACACAAATTAACAAGCCATATTGAAAATGTGGATATATACACAAAAGGTGTGGAATAGGTGGCGCTATATAGTTTAAACGTGTAAGTTGTAAAGTGGATTTTTAGCTGCTGTATACACTCTGTGGGTACTCCTTAAAGCCCACCACACATAGATAATCACCAAGAAACAAATAAAAACCTTAGGCTTTACAGGTGTTTCCACCTTCTAAGCCTTCAGTTTTTAAGAGTGCAGCGCTATATTTAATGTGAGGTAAGTGAATTTTCCAAAGTATTCAAAAACACTCACCCTCTGTGCATCTCTTTGATATAATATACATATAGAAAAACAGAGAAAAAATATATACAAATAATTGTGCAGTATATTAAGTTACACATGTATATAAACTCACATTTGTTTGAGCCTTTTCAAGTTTTTAGGCTCTAAACTTCCAAACGTCTGTGTCTTTTAGGGTAGATCACACGACCCCTATCTCCAAGGAAAAGTGCGTATGTTCCTCTCCACAATGTACACAAAAGACACAGCTATTTCAGATTAAGTGAAGCATCCTAGATAATGATTGTATCCATATAGAAAAAGTTGAATTGCTCACCTTATTTAGAGCCTTTTAATAACTGGCTCTAAGTATGTAAACCTAGTGTCAGTTTATGGGGTGACACTGCCCCTTCCCTGGAATCACTTGTGCAAGATACAGTTGAATGAATAAAAATGGGAAAAATTTATTACAGAAAAATGATTTATATATATATATATATATATATATATGGAAGATACTATAAAAATATTGTGATAAAGTGAAGGCAGATAGGCCTTTTAACCCCAGGGGAAGTACGTGTAGTTTGTGTGTTGCACAACACAAAGCTTTGTTTAGTTATGGGCCCCTGGGGTGGAGCATTTGGAGAGAAGGGTGGGCCAATGCTCCACTCCACAGTTTAGTGGTTTTCTGGGGAGACATAGATCCAAGCCAGGGTTTTTTGGACCATCTCCAACCCACTGCTCAGCTGCAGTTAATGAGCTGTTGCAGTGGGAATAAACCCCTCCCGGCTAGGCAGGAAAAGGAGAGGGATTGCTGGCTTCCTCCCAGGAAGCAGGTAGGAGAGAGGCTGTTCTCTCCAGATAGAGAGTCAAGGAGATGAGGCACTGGGAGTGCAGAAAGGAAGCAGTCAAGGCTGGCTTGGAGCACTGGGAGTGCAGGAGGAAGCAGTCAAGGCTGACTTGGAGCACTAGGAGTGCAGAAAGGAAAGCAGTTAGGGCAAGGCTGGCTTGGAGCGGAGAAAGAAAAGCAACAGGCTAGCTAGCAGAGTGTTGCTATCTAATAAGGTTGGTGCAGTATGTTTTATTAGTTTAACCCTGATAGAGAGGGTTATTCAAAGAGAGTCAGTGCTCAGACGAGCTAGGTTTTTGTTTAAAGGGAAACCTGTTATATTTATGTTTTCATTTGCTGCTGTAAACTTACAAATAAAGTGCTTGGAATGAAGTTGCATTAAAAGACTGTGCACGTTTTTGCCCTAGAGGACCGTGCTAACTGCAGACAAAGATCACAATATATATGCTAGAAAATAAAAAAAACAGTATTGACATTAAAAACAGTACAGTACAATTATATTAGTGGTCTATAATGTAGGTCCACTTTGAGCTAAAACGCGTTTCGCCGATAAAAAACGGCTTCCTCAGTCAGCTTAAAAAAGTCCTCTGATTCTTCAGTCTTTTAAATGTTCAATTTCCCGCCAGTTATTTCTTTATCCAATCCGGTGTCTCCTGTGTCGAGTGTGACGCGGCTGAATGCCGTCGCGTCACTTCCTGCTTTTCGGCACTACAGAATCCATAATACACTGCGGATCCTATG